GTGTCCCAAAGGTGTGGACACAGTCGGCGAAGAAGAAATGACATGGAGACAGTGTTCAGTTGATCAGCAACCTAGCCAGGTTCTCTAGTCAGGGTCTCCAGCCAGGTTTTGTTCTTTATTCTCCTGTTACATCTGTATTCATACCAGTTGATTTTAATCCTATCCATTCCAAAGGTTAGGGCATTTGTTATCTACATTCCAAGGTCACTACTCTATTGTTCTGTTAAGCTACAAGGAAGTAACTGAAGGAGATTATTCTAAGTAAAGATTATGTAGTTTAAGCGTGATTGTTCGTAGTTAAAGTGATTAATTACCTGCCTGGCACTTAGTTAAGGGGTTTTATTCCCTTCCTTAGTCTTGTTAATCCCTAACTCCAGGGAAAAAATCCTCACCTTGGGAAACAACCTTTCTCGGCGAGGTGACCCTGGTTAGAACACATAGCGCTAAGAGGGGGAGCAAACATATGCCATATACGCCAGGTCCCTTGAAACATATGCTGTGCAGATGTTTCTTCCCTGCAGCGACTGTGTCAAGCAGCAAGGATGGACTGGCTTCCAGCAGTGAAGAGTTTTAGCAATTGCACTACCATACTGGGCCAAGAACTCATTGTGCCCCATATATCACCAGGGATGGTGGTTTTGTTTGTTTGTTTGTAGCAAACATATGCCATATACGCCAGGTCCCTTGAAACATATGCTGTGCAGATGTTTCTTCCCTGCAGCGACTGTGTCAAGCAGCAAGGATGGACTGGCTTCCAGCAGTGAAGAGTTTTAGCAATTGCACTACCATACTGGGCCAAGAACTCATTGTGCCCCATATATCACCAGGGATGGTGGTTTTGTTTGTTTGTTTGTCTGGTTGTTTGTGTGTGTGTGTGTCAAGCAGCAAGGTGTGTGTGTGTGTGTGTGTGTGTGTGTTGCCAGTCAGGCAGTGAGGGATTCAATCTCAAAATCCCAACTTACAACTTTTTGGGGTCAATACTGGTACCAGTGGGTCCTCTGAGAAGTGAACAGAGATAGAGACAAAAGTAACACCTGTGAAAGGAAAAGGCAGGAAGCAAGATTGAGCAGGAATAGTCAACAGACAACAATGCAGATCTGACAAAGTCTCTGGAAACCCAACAGAAAGGTCCAGCATGAGGATTACCTAGTAGAAGTGTCTTGTACTTAGCAAAAATCTCAGTCCTTGTAGCACCTCTTGCCTGGTCATTAGCAGAGGCCACCCCAAGAAGAGCATTGCCAAAACTCAAAAGCTGAGGCCAACTTGAAGGAGTTAATAGCCAGCGGCCACCAGTCCTTCCTTGAAGAAAAGTCTGAGCATCTGAAGGGTGCATTTCTCTATCTGCCACAACAGTATTAGCACTAGAGAGATACTAGAAAAATGTAGGTTTGTGTGGCATGCTGCATATTTCTTAACTACCTCACCGCTATTGTAAGAATTGCATGGGGAAAACTTCAGACCAGAGCCTTCCCTAAGTTAAGTCCATTTAAAATTTTCAGAAATTGTAGATTTTAAAAGGCCTTGGAAATTTGTCACTGCCCTCACTATCCAGAATAGGTTCTGAGTTCATGGGAAACATTGATTAAACCCTTATGAAATAGCTCTTAGGGTATTTTTCTTTCTGATGTTATTGGTACTGTAATAAATTGACCACAGCAATTCAGTCTCATTATTAAGCAGGTTTCTGCTTCTCTCTGAAGCTTGTCTGAGACTCTAGTTTAGGCAAAAGGCTAGTGACTGAGTCTTCAGAGAAAAAAAAAAAAGTCTCAGAGCCCTGTGGAAAAGATTGCACTAAGTGCTCTGAACTATGAGTATTTCGAAGAACAGTCTTTGCTGGGGTCCAGCCCCAGCAGGTCCAGGGGTCCCCAAAGGTGTGGACGGAGTCGGTGAAGAAGGAATGACATGGAGGCCGTGTTCAGTTCATCAGCATAGTTGGGTTCTCTCGCCTGGTTCTATCCAGGATCTCCAGTCAGGTTCTGTCCAGGTTCTCTTGCCAAGTTCTCGCTTGGTTCTCCAGCCAGGTTCTGTCTCTTATTGTCTTGTTACACCTGTATTTATACCAGTTGATTTTAATCCTATCAATTTCTATTACAAAGGTTAGGGTGTTTCTTATCTCCATTCCAGGGAGTAAAGATTATGTAGCTTAAGCGTTATTGTTCGTAGTTAAAGTGATTAACGTCAGGGGAAAATCCCT